ACTTCTTTCTCTGATAGTGAGAAACCCAGAAATATGACTCTCATATTATCTGTAATATTTTTGTTTATTTGTGAAATCCTAGTATACATTAAAAGTAGTTTTAGAATTGCTAAGCATAGTTCTGAGAGAAAAACATTTACCAACTACAGTACAGGTTTGGATACAATTCTTTTTGTCTTTAGCATAATGAGCATTATATGAATAGCATCTAATTTAATGATGAGTACATGTGGGGCTTGTTTTTCCACTCTTGTGATACTTCCCTTAGAAGAATGGGTTCCAGGTCAATACAGGATAATACAATAGGTAGTTTGTAATTTTTTTATAGCTGAGTAGAACTCCATGGTATACATATACCACATTTTGTTAATCTACTCATGTACTGATGGACACTTGGGTTGTTTTCACATCTTTGCAATTGTGAATTGTGCTGCTGTAAACATTTTAGTGCATATATATTTTTCATAGAATGTCTTTTTTTTTTCTTTGGATAAATACCCAGTGGTGGGATTCCTGGATCAAATCATAGTTCTACTTTTAGTTTTTTTAGGTATCTCTATGCTACTTTCCATAGAGGTTGTACTACTCTGCAGTCCCACCAGCAATGCATGAGTGTTCCTATTTCACTGCATCCATGCCAACATTTGTTGTTTTGGGACTTTTTGATAAAAGTCATTTTCACTGGAGTTAGGTGATAGCTCATTGTGGTTTTCATTTGTATTTCCCTGATGATTAGAGAACTGATGCACAGTGGTCCTAAGTTTTAACCTAAAGATCCCTGCTTCAGAAATGTGCCTGTTTAGCAATAATCAGCATTAATAAACAATTAGATTTTTCTTTTCTTTATTCTTGCTTCTTCAAATAACATCTGTTTATCACCTCTGGAAATGAGTGCAGCATTTATATACTAGAATTTGCAAATTCATTAGATATATAGAAAAAGGATTCAAATGCAGTAGTAAAGAAGTGGTTAGAAGAGATACTTTATCATTTTTCATAAGGACAGACATCTCAAACAACCACAAACTATACCACATAACTATCAATTACAAGTTAGACAATTGCTGCAGACAGCACCTTAAAGCTGTCTCCAATTTGAGGTTGCAACCCCAATAGTAATACAAACTCTGAGCTTCTTTATTAAAAAAGTCACAAAAAATCTTTAAAAAATTTGACCTTGCCATTGTATATCTGCATGTGTAATATTCTGTATGGTTTTAGTTATCAGAAATCCTAATTGACAGAGTTAAAAAGGTAAAATAAGACAGTTAAAATGATCAAGATGATGCACAGGCCATTGTTGGAGGACTAAATGGAGAGATTTGACCTTTTCATCATGACTCCATGCATGTTTGAAGCAAGTTGAAAGGGATTAAGAAAGCAAGTGAGTCAAAGGTATGATTAAAATCTGTTCATCCTGAAGTATATGGTTGGGTGATTATGGACTTGTTCAGTGCAACTTGGACTTCACCAAATCCAGCAATGCTAGAACCAGGCTTTATCTGCTGTATGGTGGAAAAATTAATTGAAATAAATAAAAAATATTATCTTAATTGATGAATCCTAGACCAGACATAACAACCTTAGTAATTTCAGTGGTGCTATCATATCAATTATCATGAATTTTAAGTAGCATGGGAACAGTTATTTTGGGTTTTTGTCCTCTTGCTTAGAACTTGATCCCAGAGACATGACCCAGTGCCCTGTGGTTAACCTTTGTTTTGCCTAGTAGAGAGAGGGGTCAGAATACCTCTCATCTTGGCAAATTTATAGTCTACTTTTAGGCAAATAGAAGGAGGGCAGAGAACTTGTCTATGTATGTTTCTTCTTAATTTTTTTCACCTCAAGAATCTTTAATATTTTTGGGGAGGCATATTCTGGTCTCCCACAAGCATTATATTTTTGTACCTCTGACCTATTTTAAACATACTTGATTTTATAACAGTTTTTACAATATAATTTTCATCATAAGAATCTTTAGAATACTTGGCTTTAAATAGGTTTCATAATATAATTTTTTTTTCATTTCGGCATATTATGGGGGTACAAATGTTTAGGTTACATGTGTTGCCTTTCCTCCCCTTCCCCCAGAGTCAGAGCATCAAGTATGCCCATCCCCCATGTTTGATTTTAGAATAGGTTAGAGATTCCTCCTCATGAATACGACTGAGGATCTTATTTTTAAAAAGCCTTCTGTAAGGCATTGGCTCACTTGTCTTTCTACCTCTGCCATGTGAGGACACAGTGTTCATTCCTTCTGGAAAATGCAGCAACAAGGTGCAATCTTGGAAGCAGAGTGAAATCCTCACCAGACACTGAATCTTGATCTTGGACTTCCCAACATCCAGAACCATGAAAAATAAATTTCTGTTTTTTTCCAAATTAACTTTTCCCAGGTATTCTGTTATAACAGTACAAATGGACTAAGACAGTAAATATAGACTTTCATAGCCCATGTGAATGATATTACAATATTATATGCACTCCAGGTGAAACCAACATAAATCTTTCTTCACAGCCTTATAGGCCCATTGTCCAACAAGGAAAGCAATAAATCTATATGATGTTCTTGATTGCTACGTTTTCAATTTGGGTACTTGATTTATCGAACAGATATAATAATATGCACTTACACGGATAGCTCCCAAGTGACTTAAAATATGCTGAAGAGTTTCTATGCATATGCTGTTTAAATTATAGTCAGCAGTAAGTTCCACTCTATATTTTTTTCACTTCTGATGATTTCTTTTTATATTGGACCTGAGATACTCCCCCAAATATGGGTTCAAATCTAAAATGGGAGATGCTAAAACTGGGGGACTTTAGGAAAAATGGAGAAGCAAACGTATTTGCACATTCAGTTATGTGTTGTGGCTTATTGTTTCCAAGTCACTCTCTGGCTGCAGTGGCCACGATTAGCTGTGGGTGTTCAAGCTGTGGTTTCTGGTGAGACAGCCTGCCTTTCCTTGCAGGGTGACACTGTGGACCAGAGTCGGTATGTGAACCTGATAAAGAAGAGCCCTCAGGATGCTCAGAAATTCATTCTGATGCATGAGGAGGTGCAGGCAGTGATCACCAATGCCTTCCTCATGGACGACAACAACCACTTTTCCCACGTGGCCATTGACCTGGTGCAGGGTGCAGACATGCTCCTCCACGTCATTTATTTGGCCATGGGTAGGAGCTCTGCCCTCCAGTGAGTGGGAGGAGTGGAGTTTTCTACCATCTTCTGATTTTATGTTTTAAATTCCAAACACACAGTTTCAGTCTCAAGCTTTAAGTCTGCCATCTTTCTGTGCAACCCCCAAAGTCCAGGAGGCTCATGTATGTTCATAATCCTCTGTGCATCTTATGTAAAGTTTATATTATTCTCTCTTTTTCACACTTTGCTCATACTTTTAATTGGAAGGACAGTACTTTATACCCTCACTATTGCTTATTAACTTTTTATAGTATAAGTCATTTCTTGGTAAAAACCATTTTAGTTTAGGTAATTTAAGAAAATACAACACTTTGTTAGATGATACAGTGAAGTGAAATACATCCTGTAATCATCAGGATAATGGCTGATTGGTTCAAAGATAACACAGGAAAATGTTTTTATTGTAGGACAATAGATGGAAGCAGTCTTAGAATTATTCCCTTAGGCACCAATAACAGCATTTTATGAAATACCTAGGGGAAAGTGCTCATCGAATGATGACGGTTAGACCTGTTCAATTTCCAAAGTAACTTACAGTGTTGCGGGAATGTTCCTCTCTTCATTAATTATTCACACAGCTGGGGGTACTGGAAGAGGCCTCAGGGACCTCCCTTCAGCTCTGCACTCTGCAGCATCCTGGCCCTCAGTCCTCCCACTGCGTTCTTCCTGGGCCTGGGATTGCCCCACCCGCTGCCCATCCCCACCAACTCTTGGTCCAGCTAACCACCTATTCACCCTTCAGTTTCAGTACAATTGCCACTTTCTTCAGAGATAAATAGTCATTATTTTATCCAAATAAGAATATTTTTCTTTGAGAAAAACTTCTCATTTTGTCATTGTACATGTATCGGCTGGTTTATTTTATTCATGAAGTCACTAATAGTTATCGACCGTTTACTATGTGTCGAGTTCACTTGAAGAGATTGCACAGGACACTGGTGGACAGACCAGCCCCGCCCTGCTGTCCTGCAGCTCACATTATAGTGGGGACAGCGGGCAACAAAGCAACCAGATAGGAACAGAGGAAGAGAGAGTGACGAGCAGGTGCACAGATAGGGATGGGGTCACTAGAGCCAGGCAGGCTCCTGCCCCAGGGGCTGGGCAGGGTCTGCCCCTGCCACGGGGCGGGGGGAGGCGCGAAGCTGACCACAGGCTGTGGACAAGGAGCCAGCCCCGCACCCTGGAGGGAAATAGCCCATGCTGAGAGATGCAGCTGTGGGCAGCGGCTGATAGGATGTATACATTCATGATGCATGCATCCTATCGGGGGAAAAAAGCGGGCTGAGGTTATTTGAACTTTAGTTAGGAAGAGGGGGCAAGGTGGAAATGTGCAGAGATTCTCTTGCCACTTTCATTTTCATTCATTTCCTCCAACTTCGAGGAATGTGAAAGGTGCTAAGCTTCTGCACCTTCTCCCTTCACTTCTTCCTTTCTTCTCTCCCCACCTCAGAAGTGGCTGATGAGGAGTAACATTGTTTTGACATTTACAAGATGCCATCAAGGTGGTTCTGAGGTTCTGGCGGAGAGAGGTATTCCGCCTTTCCTTTTCCTTTTTCTCCGCATCAATTCCTGAATTATTCTAAATTATTTCCTCTGTTATTGTCCTAACAAAGCAACTGTGACTTATAGAAAAGGTTAATTTATCTCTTATCAAACTTCTCTGAAATTTCATTTCCTCCAAGTATCTCCAATTGGATTTTCAAAAAAAGCATCTCAATATCGTTTTGATACTTACGAGACACCATCAAGGTGGTTCTGAGGATATAAAATTCACTCATAAGTGATATAGGAAACTTACAAATGAGATGTGTAAATTTGTTTGATCCGTGCATGTTTTTCTCCTTGGGTAATACTTCTGTCCACAGATGATTTCTTTTCAGGTATCATGAATACTTCTAAGGTTTAATGTATTGTCTTTGAGTTGCGGGGTGCTGAGGAACATTTTCTGAGAAGAAAAATAGGATCAAAACAGTTTTGGAAATACCATGGATGTTAATCTGAGTCTCAGTATTTTGCCAGTCAACCCTGGAAGCCCTGCTCAGTGTTTTCTTTCCTAGAACTCACTCCACTTTTCCCAGAGCATTTCTACAGCCAAAACCATGGGGTCCACAGGGACGGATAGCATCGCAACACCCGTGACACCTCTGGCCTGTTTCATCTCTGTGTCTAGGCATTTAGGCAAATGGCAGCTAACACATCAATGCACACATTTAGCATGGCAAGTCGGCTTCTCTCTGGTTAAAACCAGCAAGTAAAGAAAATAACCTGATTTATTCAAATGTCTGGAAAAACACTTGTTGGTTTTTAAGCTGAAATCTATAGGTACAAAAGTGTCCCACTCCATGACCAACTCAACAAGTACAGAGTGATGATTTGCCCAGGAGCTGGCCTGTGTAACTGCTGACAGTGACTGTCATCACAGCCCATAGCTGGTGCCCTAGCAGCAGGTGTTGTCAGATATTGAAAACTAATGGGCTCAGTGCTTTGAATCGGGGAGAACCTGTTTTTTACATTATCCCTTAGATGTTAAAAGAAATGGAGAATGAACAGTGGTTGGCAACTTCAAAGGAGACGGAACACTGAGTCTGGGGGGGGGATGTAACATTATTGTTACTGTTATCATCATTACCATCTCTAAATTGAGTATGTCTATAAAAGGCTACCCTCTGAACACATCAAATATTCATTTCTTAGCATTAGTATTCTAAAAATGTCAAGGCCTATGATTAATCCTCACCCTGCTTCTTATTAGCATCTTCACCTTGGACAGGATACATAATTCTGGGAGCCCATAGCTTTAAATAGTGCTCAAGAGATGGGACTAAGTAAAGTAGAGGAAGAAGGCAACCGAGGCTGGGCCCTTTGGAACGCCCACATTTGCAACCTTAATGAAAATGAGACGTCAGCAGAGGAAGTCTAGTAAAGCAATCAGTGAGGTCAAAGGGAACTTAAGACAGCATGGTGGCACGGAGACCAGAGAGGAGCCTGTTTGAAAAGGTTCATTCAACAAGTACGTTCAATGTACAAGTCAAGTAGGACGTATGGACTGAACACCTACTGTCTGCCGAGGATTCAGCAGCAAAAAAACTGGACACAATCTCTGCTCTCCTGAAGCTTATTTATAAAGGATAAAAAAAAATGACATAGAATAAAGTTATATAAAACATAAGATGTGAAAAAATAAAGCAGAAAAGAATAGGGGAGGCCTGGGTTTCAGTGTTAGGAACTCATGTAGGACGAAGAGAGAAAGATTCATTAAATTTGGAAGCTGTGGGGAAAATACCTTGAAAAATTCATTCTTACATTAAAAAGATTTTTCAGTATTCAAATGATTTCTTCTCAGTGAAATGCATAAATCCATTGTTCTAAATGTTTTCATATATGCAAATACATAAAGGGTTGGATATAAAAGAAAAGGAGAAATATAGTGTGACTATCATAAATTTCATAAAATTCCATTAATTTTAGTTTAATAATTAAAGAAATTTGGAGTTAAATGATTTCAGTGAGTAATAGCAATGGAGTCAAATTTTTATCTGTTATAACTTTCCTACCTTGCATGTCATCTTATTGCCAAATTTAAATAAAATATATCTTCTGACTTCTCTGACAATCTTAATAAACGTGAACTTAAGATTAAAATTGCTTTTTATTATCATTGCCACTTACATTTTGCTAAATAATTATGTTGTTTAATTGGGGAAAATTAATTCTTGAATTATAATATCCCTTGTATCTAAATATGGTTTCTAGATGACTTGAGTAGCTTATGTCTAGTTCCCGAACCACAAAATCATGTGAAGTTACACTTTATACGCTAGTCAAATCCCAGTTCGTTCTAAATAGAATGCAGTCAGCTTCATTATGGAGTAACAAGTCTTACTGTTTTCTTTTTGATCTTCTTTCGATCTTTTCGCTTTTCTTTATTTTAGGTCCACAGCCTTCCAACCTCCCTCTCTTGAGTTTCACATGATAACTGCTGATTAAAAGTTGCCCCAGGTGGTAAAGTGGGGTATTCTGTGGACAAAAGATATATAAACTGCTTGGCTCATGTTTTCATCTAAATCCTGCCTGATACAAATTTTTGATATAACTCCTTTAGGTTTAATGGCAGTGGCTGGAGTTTAAGCACAGTAGTATTCTCCTCCCAAACCTACCAATTTCTGGCTTATGCAGAAAGGCTGGTAGGCTGGCATCTTATTGGCTCTGTTTGATAATTATGTCATTCATAGTCCAAAGAGATTTTTAATGATGTTCACCCAAGTATGTTTCTAAAGCCCCTCATCTTGTGGCCTCTCTAAATCAAAATCTTTGCTTTTACAGAGGAACCTTTGAATGACTTTCCTAATGGAACATTATTAGGCAAGTCTTATGCAGATGCATGGTTAGTGAAATGAATGATGTAAAAATAGACTTGAAAATTTCCAGCATTTGTTTCATCCAGGATAACTTACTTATGAGAAGACCGACCCACTTATCTTATTCTGATTTGAAGATGAATCTACAAGTGTTATTATAAAATAATTGTTTTAGTCAATCCATTGATAATAAAGGAATCTAATTAAACTGTTCTCCATCTCCCTCCATTTCATTTGCTGTGATTAAACACAGTTTATAGTCATTGCCAATGGTGGTCAATTACTTCCCTGCACAGAAAGTGCTTGGCATGTCTTCAAAGAGATTTTATACAATTTTATTTTTATAACTGAGAGAGTCAGTGTGGTAAGAGCCTAGTGTGAAACTGAATATGATTGAGTTTCCTATATTCATTATAAGGTGAGATGAGAATTTTAAAAATAAAATCTAGTAGAGAAAATGCTATCGGTGATCAGATTTAGGTGTTAATCCTATAATGGCCATGAATTAACTCATAAAATAAAATAAAATTGTTTTTAAAGTAACAAATTTTGGTCCTGTCACAATGAAACTTTCAATATTATCTCTTTTGCGTACGTATAGACTCAAAGTGAACATGAGTGTTCTGCATGTGTACAAATACTGAAGCTAGAACTGCAAATTTAATAATTAGTAGTTGAAAGTGAAGTATTCAGTAACCAAATAAATTCTGTCTGCTGGATGGATGACTGAATGTGACCTGTGTCCCTATTCCAATAAGGTGCAGGTGTTGGTGTTAAAATCAGAATCAGGCCAGGTGTGATGGCTCACGCCTGTAATCCTAGCACCCTGGGAGGCTGAGACGGGAGGATCACTTGAGGTCAAGAGTTCAAGACCAGCCTGAGCAAGAGAGAGACCTCGCCTCTACTAAAAATAGAAAAAAATAGGTGAGTGTGGTGACACATACCTGTAGTCTAAGCTACTTGCGAAGCTGAGGCAGGAGGATCACTTGAGCCCAGGAGTTTGAGGTTGTTGTGAGCTAGGCTGATACCATGGCACTCTAGCCTGGACAACAGAGTAAGACTCTGTCTCAACAACAACAATAAGAAAATCAGAATCATTATGACCCTTAGTAACCAGGGAGAAAGAGAAGGGCCAGGCCTACCTGTCTTAAAGAGGAAGTGACTGAGGTGAGCGATATTGGCCTGAGGAGATGAGAATCTTCTGGACAGGGACCTCCTCACTTGGGGAGTTCTCTTGACATCTACCGTAGTTACCAAACAGAGATGCCGCAACTCCAGAGCCCTCACAAAGCCTTGACACCCATGAAGGGCAAGTGGAGACACCTATTGCAGAAAGTACATAGTGAGTGAAAACACAAGTACAGTCCCCTCAGAAATGGCTCTTCTAAATGTTCCGGTGAGGAATTTCAGAAAGAAAATTCAACTCATGTGAGACCCTAGAGCAAGGTGAGAAGTCATGTGTCACCATTTCCCACAGGTTCAACTTACTGCTACAAATAAAAAATGATTTTAAATGATTATATGAGTTATCTTACTTTTCTTGCCCTTTGACTTCGTTCTTTGTAACTTGTACCTCTGACTCACCTCTAATGAAGTAACTAGAATCCACAGAAAGATTAGCAGCTCTGTAACTGCCTTTTATAGTTATAACCTCTTGTAACTTCCAAATGTCTGTTCATTTACTCAAATAGGTTTTAAATATTGTATTCTAATAATCCAACTTCACAGCATCACTCCTCCTGCTCTGTGACTCATCTCATTGTTTTTGAAACAGCAGATAAAGTCAGTGCCCATCTGATGGTTATGAAAAATCCATATCAGAGCCTTTAGCTGGTCAACCATTTAGTTGTAATTATATTCTTTTGGTCGTGAGGAAGTGAAATGTACTTTGGTTGTTATTATTTTGTTAAGGATTTGGGGCTCTATATTCAAAAGAGAGATTTGTGTGTAGTTTTCTTTGGATCCCCTTGTCTGGTTTTTGTGTCAGCTGTCACTTCTTTTAAAATAAACCTTCACAGAGAATATGGGTCTTGAGGGTTCCCTTAAATAATAAAATAAAGAGATTTGACAGGTCTAGAAATAAAAGAGTGATGTATAACTGTTAATATTGTAGCTTTCACATGGAACCCATTAGAGTAAATGGGCTTTCTACAAACCTTCATGCATTACTTGCTACATTTATGTTCTCCTTCCCACCAGGATGCCCATAGTAAGCTACAGTTTGCAAAACAGCTTTGTAGTGGGGTAGCGATTAACAGAAACCAAATCTAGAAATGAAACATTTCCTGGGCACATGGAAAACAATATTTACCATTTGAATATAGATCAGCATTAAACATCATATCTTTTCTTTCTCTCTTTCTTTCCTCTCTGTCTTTTGTACTCTCCTTCTTTCCTTATTAGTCCAAAAAACAGCAGCAGAATAATCCCATCATGAGATTAATAACCATACCCTTTTTATGCTTGTTTAAAATATTTTCATCCCTTTCTTGAAATATGTAATTAGGCAAAATATGCTTCTCACAATTGCTATCTTATGATTTTAAAATAGAATCATCCTTACTAAAGTGCACTGCTGAGGATCTTATAAGGTAACACTGTAATCATCATAGACATTAATAATAGATTGGAATATGTTTAGTATGGGTCGAGCTAATGTCTTTAAGAGCAGCTGTGTGATAGGAAGCACTGTTCCTACAAGACCCTCTCTTACTTACCCTTTAGATGAGAAAGTGCCTTCTCAGAGAAGCTGAGGGCATGAGCTTTGCTACTGAGACATTTATGAGGAATCAGTGTGGTCTTTACCAACTATCTAAGGAAAGAATATCTGAAACAATAGTTGTGAAGGAACTTATGCTTGACCACATAAAAGTCAATATAAAGAAAAAAATACTTTTAATTTTTTTTTTCTATTTTGGCTGACCTTAATACATGCTAAGTAATTTCTATGCAGTTAGTAGGATAGAAAGAAGGTATTTGTTCATCCACTTACAGTCCATTTTTATCAGCCTCACTGGCATTATTTTAACTAAACCCAAGTATCAAAAAACTTGAAATTTAAGTGCATCCAGTACATGTTTTAGATGTCTGAACCTAAAATATATTTAACATTTGGGAACAATTTTGAGATTTAACAAATGTTCAGATTATAGTCCCAATTTCCAGCTTTTAATCAAAATCCTGAGTCCCAGAAGAATATAATAAGCCAATTAAATATGAAACCCTTTGAGAATTAAAACTGAGTTAACACAGAAGAAAAGAAAATTTTAGTAAGAAAGTAGATCTCTTTCTTGAGCTAGAAAATATGTGTAAACATTTCTACATTGTGAGGATAAAATGTAGCATTGGCTACAATTAGTAAATGGCACATACAGTGATATTGGTTTGAGTCCAGTAGAAGTTGACTTTAATTGTCACAAATTAGTTCAAAGACTTTTATCGACAGCATTTTCATGTATTTTTGCCAGGAATAAAAGCTCCAACAGTTAATTATTTGAATGCCTAAATATCTTTCTGGAATTTTGAGAGTCTAAAACCTGACCCTTATTATTGTAAATGTTCTCTAAGCTTAATTAGTGGGATTTAGAATTTCATTTTGAGACTCAATATGAACATTTAATTCATTTTTAAAATCTGACCTTGTCCTTAGTGAAAGAACACTGGTTCAAAGTGAAAAATACTTTCAACCACAGAGGGCTTCACTTGTCCTTGGTACATTGGGTCTTTAAAAGGCAATCTTCATAATGAGCTGCTGCTCTTTGAGTTAAGCTATAATTTTTCCTTCAATTAGAAATCGTATTGATTACACAGTGTTGGCATTTTTTTAATATCTCTGGTCAGTATTCATGCTCCCTGCATGGATTGGATAGGGGAGCCACTTGTCTTGGGCTTTATGTGAGTGCTGAGCTGTGGCTATTCATCTGGCAGCTTGTCTGCGGTCCCTCCAACTCTTACAGCTGGGGTCCTAACTTGCACCTCTGGGGCCTTCCTGCCCTTGGGTGCAGAGCACGCCAGGGCTCAGGCTCAGTGCTGACTCTTCTCGGTCCCGGCTTAGCTCCAACCTCTCACCAGGATTTAGTGACCAGGCCTTTGACACCCTCTCTTGAGACCCTGTGATCAATTCTTTGGTCCAGTGTCTGAGCTTTGTCCTTCCTGTCCCCTTCCCAGGAAGCAGAGGACTGTCTGTGTGCCTGTGGTTGGTGTCCACTCCCTCCTGCCCTACCTCCAGGCACCAACCTCTTGACCCTTGTCCTCTATTTCCTGCTGTCTGATTTTAAAATTAAGTTAAAGCAAACACCGCATGAGTTTGGAAGCTACTGTTAAAGGTTCAGTGGTCACAGGGAAGGGGTATATTGAGAAGCAGGAAGCTTTCTGCTGTCTCCCTGGCTTCCCCTCTCTCCTTTTTATCACTTTTCCTGTTCCCCTTACCAGAAAGACACCAAAATGACTCCCCCATCTCATGCAAAGACTCTTCTTCTCTTGTCCGACCATCTGATCTGACCAACGTTCAAACCCTGGTGATAGGGGCCCTGTATCTGTCAAATACAACTCAAGACATCGCCCAAGAAAGCCAGCACTCTTCCAAAGAACTTTGCTGTGACTCGTACCTTGTCCCTTTCACATGCCTCTGCTCTTTGTTTTGTTATCAAGACACTCCTGCTTTAACATAATAACATCAAAACATAGCTTCCGATCTTGTTACTCTGTGTGTATCTGCAGGTGTGTGTGCACGTGTAGAACATGGCCCAGGTGATGTAGGTCCCAGCTACGTTAAATATCATTTGGAAAGGTTCAAGACTTTCCTCTTATTTATTTGTATCTGTCCGTTTCTATGACAGTTATCTGTATACATAAATAACACTGAACAAATGTGGTGAGTTAAAAATAACAATAAAATAAAAACATCATGTTGCTCACAAACATGGTGAGTTTAAACACTAGAGCAACCTTACCAGCACCGTTGATCTACTCTGAGTGCTTTTCCTATCCGTTGTCCTCTTCTTTGGTAACTATTATTACTGTTTCACTCGCTTTTATCATTTTGCTACACAAATCTGTGAGCATCACTTGGCTCTGCGTAGTTTGATTGGGAGGTAATTGGAAAAACATACATTCTTCTGTGACTTTATGTTTTACACTCACATTATTCTTGAGAGATGTCTCCATGTTACTGCATGCAACTAAGATTTCTTCATCTTCACCACTATACAGTGTTTCTTTGGGCTTTTCATTTGTTTGTTTCTTGTTTCTCTGTTTTTCAAGAATATTACAGGGGCACAAAAGGTTTGGTTACATGGATTGCTTTTGTACAGTTTGGGTCAAAATTATAAGTCACCCATATAGTGCGCATTGTACCTGTTAGGTGTGACTTTACCCATCCTCTCCTCTCCCCTCCCACCTGCTTGATTTCCATTTAATTTTACTACCTGATGTGCACAGGAGTGTTGATCTATAAGTTTCAATTTAGTAGTGAGTACATATGATTTGCTCTTTCATTCTTGTGATACTTCACTTAAATGGATGGTTTCCAGTTCCATCCAGGTTGTTACAAAAGGTATTAGTTTGCCATTTTTTATGGCTGAGTAATATTCCATGGTTTGTGTGTGTGTGCATGCACTGCATTTTTCAAATACTGAAGAATCAAACCATATATGAGCCTCTGAGCATTTTCATTTCTATTGAGGAGGCAAGCAGAGACAGATATGATAATTCCCTGGCTCCAACCCAAGGGACTGCCCTTTTATGTGACACTGATCCCTACATGTCCCCAAGCTACAGTCCCTACTCTTCTGTACTGGGGTCAGGCTAATCTCCCTCCCTCATGTGTTCTCTTTTTCTGCTCTGCCTGGCAGATGCCTGCCCATGCTTCAAGGTCTAGTCAAAAAGTGTTAGCTGTCCTTTCTCCCTGCCCTCCCCAGAGATGGGTTATGCTTTCCTGGATGCTCTGCCTCCACTCCGCTTTTCTATAGGCACACAATATTTTTGT